CAAAAGCAATGCAGAACTCCAGCTGGGTCCAGGGGCGTGACCTCAGGCCTGGCTGTAGCCCCAAGCCAGCTCAAACACAGCTGGAGAGTCCCATCCTCAGAAGAACCCTCCCCAGTGCCTTCTCCCACCCCACCCCTCCATTCAAGGGATGAGAAAAATCTCTGAGAACATGCCACCACCAGAGCAGCCCCAGCCTGGGAAGGAAAGCCTGGCACGGCTCAGACACAGCTCTAGACAGAGGGAGTTGCTTGGGAGTAGGGCCAGGCAGGGCCTGGGCCAGAATCAGACCAGTGGCTTTGGGCCTGCCACCCCCAGATGCCAGGTGAAGGGCCTGAGGGGAATGGGGGTGGCAGAAGGTGGCTGCCAAGCTCTGGCGCAACCCAGACTTGCCCTGAGGCAGGAGGATGGCCTAGATGGCCTCCCACACAGTACCCAAACTCAAGAAGCAGAAAATGTAGGGTGGAGTAGCAAGATCTCGATGTCCTCAAGAGTTTCTCCACGGGAATGAACTCTCCTAGCTCACTCTAGAAGAGGCAAAGCTAGCTTTGGGGGTCTCTCAGGTGTCAAGAGAAAGAGGTAGCCTTAGTGGGGTCAGAATGACAGAATCTATGTGGCAAAAATGCCTGGTTACCAGAGGAGAACTTGCTGCCCCACAGATAGGATCCTACACAGCCACCTCATGCAGCCACAGGGGCCACACAAACTCCAGACCACATCACCATCTCCACAATCCCACACCTTGATATGCAGCAAAACTCACTCACACAGCTAGGTGTGGTGGCACCCCCAGAGCTGGAGACTGAAACAGGAGGACTACCACGGAGTTAAGAGTCCAGCCTGAACTACTGAGTGCGACCCTGTCTCAAACAAAACAAACAAAAACCTACCTTCATAAGCAGCCCACGCTACACCCAAAACACAGCTACCCAGTGTTATGTATGCGTGCACACATGCACGCCCCCACGCACACACACTCACAGTGTGCAGATATAATCTCTGTGCCCCAAGCCTGTCATTTACAAACAGTAACCAAGGGTCTGGAGATGTGGCAGCGATATGGTCCAGGGGCTTCCTCCTTAAAGAGTGACGGCTGAGGAAGGGGGTGAGCAAGGACACTCTAGAGAAGGGAGACTCTCAAATAAAGAGGAGAAACATGTCCTGTGTAGAGGCATGAGCAGTGAGTGGGAAAGCCAGAGATCAGTGTGAACATGGCTTGTCTGAGGGATCTCTACACCAGAGGGTCCCAACAGTGTAACTGAAGAGGCATGATCAAAGGGACAGGAGACCAAGCAGCTGCTTATTTGTGGCCTTAGAAGCCAATCTCGGGCTAGGCTGTCTCAAGCTAATGACAGTCACTGGGAGACTTTAACAGAGAGCAACGTGATCTGATTTATATCATCAGGTCCCTAACTTGAGGAGCTGGGCCAGATACAAAAGTATTTCTAATCATGACCAAACCCAGAATCCATAAAAAACAATACATACATCTGATTTTTGTTTCATTTTGTTTTGTGTTGGCATTTTTTGTTTTATTGGTCTTTTTCTTATTTGTCTTGATTTTCATTTTTGTGTTTTTATAGGGGCTTGTTGTTTTGGGTTTTGGGGGGTTGTTTTTGAAAGACAGAAAAAGAAAGCATATAGAGTTGAGTGGGTAGGGAGACGGGGAAGATCTAAGAGGAGTTGGGGAGGGGACATAACATGATCAAAATATATCACATAAACTATTTTTAATTTAAAAGTGCATATACAAAGTCAAAGCACAATTTTCAGACAGAAGAAATTTTATTTGTATCACAGACACATTATTTCCTTACTATGTGAAGAATCCCCAAGAAGTAACTAATGAAAAGCAGTTGCCTGTAGGAAATGGACTAAGGCAAAGGAAAGTTTTCAAGGAGAAAACCCATCAACAAAATGATTCTTCAAACACTTTCAAAGACTAGGTCTCTTAAGAGAAACACAAAAGAGACATAGTAGCAACAATCATAAAAGCTGGTAATGCTCTCTCATGGCAAGGACTGGGGAAAAGAAACTGTGACATGTCATGGTTAATACTGACCAATGGAGGGGAATTAGCAATATCTATCAACACATTAAACAGCTATCACTTTAACCCAAAAGCTCCACTTCCAGGAATATAGACACCATTTTAAACGGGCTAGGGCTGAGGACACGCTCAGTATAGAAGGCACTTGCAGGGCAATCACAAGAGCCTGGTTCAGATCCTCTGGGCCCACACACAGTCAGACAACAGTTTGCAGCATCTGTAATCCCAGCATTCCTTCAGTGAGATGAGGGCTGGAAGCAGGGAACTCCCTGGAAGCTCAGGGCCAGTGGCCTGGTTACAAAGCAGTGAACAGTCGACCTTGTCTCAAAGAAGGTAGACATTGAGGGCTCACACTCAAGATTGTCCTCTGGCCTAGACTCAGGAGCGGGCATATACTTTCCTACACTTGTACGTACACACACACAAGAAGAAGAAGAGGAAGAGGAAGAAGAAGAAGAAGAAGAAGAAGAAGAAGAAGAAGAAGAAGAAGAAGAAGAAGAAGAAGAAGAAGAAGAAGAAGAAGAAGAAGAAGAAGAAGAAGGGTCAAATAATATTTGTTCAAGGAGATTTGTTGCAATGGAAGGAGCAAGAAAGGGAAGGGACAGGTGAGGAGGAAAAAGAAAGAGGAGGGAGGAAGGGAGGAGACAGAAGGAGGAGGCAGGAAGTGCTCTGCCAACTGTACCACACATGCCTAGCCCTGAAAGGAAGGGCTGGAAGCAGCCTTAATTTCTGCCAGTGTGCAACTTAGATAGTATAAACACGATTCATCTCTTTAAAACAGCAAAAGAAAGCTGGGTGGTGGTGATGGCGGCGGTGGTGCAAGACTTTAATCCCAGCATTCGGGAGGCAAAGGCAGGCAGATCTCTGTGAGTTCAAGACCAGCCTGGTCTACAAGAGCTAGTTCCGGGACAGCCTCCAAAGCTACACAGACAAACCCTGTCTAGAAAAACAAACAAACAAACAAAGCAGCAAAAGAACACTCTGTCGCCGGGCATTGGTGGTGCACGCCTTTAATCCCAGCACTCGGGAGGCAGAGACAGGCGGATCTTTGTGAGTTCGAGACCAGCCTGGTCTACAAGAGCTAGTTCTAGGACAGCCTCCAAAGCCACAGAGAAACCCTGTCTCGAAAAACCAAAAAAAAAAAAAAAAAAAAGAACACTCTGTCTACAGAGAGGAACAGATCAAAGCACACAGCACTCCTCCATGGGTCATAGGAAGGCGTCTCTATAGTTGGCTGTGCACAGGTTATTCTTGAAGGAAAACCAGAACCTATTAGCCAGTGTGGGAAGCACTGGTTGCACAATCTGATGCTTGTTAGTGCCAGCCATGGACGAGCATGTGAGCATGTCAGTAAATGGGTGGTGGGGCCCTAGGACTGGGTGTGCTCACCTGGGGTGACAGGTGATGGGCCCGGCCCAGAGCACCCACAGTAGAGACCTGATGGAAGGCATCCCAGGGACCAGGAAACTGAGAGGATGTCAAGGAAGTGGGGGGAGGATGCTCTGAGAAGAAAGGCGTGACCCCACTGTGGCAGCTACTTCACAAGGTCAAGGATTTATGATTGTGGGATTTGGCCTGAAGAAGATCGAAGTGCCCTTGACAAGCCTTTTCTAGTGACACAGCAGGGACAGAAATGTTCTGATGGCTTGAAGGGTGAGCTGGAGGTGAAGACACGTGGACAGGAGTTTCCCTCTGACAGGCAGGAGAGGAATAGGTGATAAGCAGCGGGTAGCAGGGGCAGGGTCCCCCACAAGCCCCAGCACTGCCCAGCCACACGCTGACAAGGGCTGTGCCACAGCAAGTAGAAGACAGACTCATGCAAAGCCCGCTTCACTGAGGTCTCTGGAGCACATCACTCCATTGTCTCCTTTAAGTGCAGAAATCACCAGAGATATTTCATTTGTATGCTATAAATATGATACACAGCACATAGGGCAAGCAGCTTTGGTCCAAGAGCACACAGCTCAGGAGCATAGGAATCCCTCTGGGTAATAGGAGGACACGGTAACGGATCCTCCTAACAATGGGAGCCTTTTGTAGATTAGAAGAGGCACCAATGGATACACTCTTGGCAAGTGGGATGAATAGTCACCAGGGTCCGGCAACAGTCATCTCTGTCTAGACAGTGAAACCTCAGGCAGGGTTGTGACTAAGATCTGGGGATCCCCAGGGAAACACTGAGTTTCCATTCCTGGGGCGCTTAGGGGCTTTCGGGATCCCAGTCCTGGAACACAAACAAGACTAAGCATTCCTGGTTCCCAGCGCCCAGTTTAGGAGTCCCTCGATCACAGGCTTCCACCCTTCACAAGCTCTGCCTCACACCCTTGCTCCACACACCCTTGAACAGACTGGGTACTATGAAATGGCTCCAAGCACCACCCTTTCCCCTGAAATTTCTTTTCCGGGTTGTGTACCTTCCGGCTGCCAGCACAGAGTGTGAGCCCCGCAGCAGGACTGTCACAAAGAAGATAGACCTGGGTCCTGGAGATTGTCATCAAGGAGGCAAGCGGGGCTGGAGCACCACCCTCCCCGCACCACCCCCGCTCCTCCCCCCCCCGCCCCGCCCGCCTGCCCGCCCGCCCGCAGTGTCCCAACGCAGTGTTGAGACCTGTGATCCAGGCAGGGCGCAGGCCAGGTATCCGTGGTAACCAGCTGTGGGCGAGTCATTTATTGCCATCCCTCCTGCCACGGCACTTAACAGTTTGCAAGGTGTTTCACGCCCTAAAGTTATTGCAGCTTTTGCAACAGCCCTACCAGTGGCCATCAATGCCTCCATTCGCAGGCAGAGCCTCTGCGAAGCAGCCTGGGGCTCCCGGGTCCATGCAGATGCTTTGGGATTAGAACTCGTACCCCTGAGGCGACTCCAGGCTCCGCCCCCGACCGCCCCTCCTCCACGCTGCCTCTGGCTGTGCTAACCAGGAGCCTCACTGAGGCCACAAAGCTGGGCTTGGCTCCGATCTCATTCCTCTTCTGCTGTGAGTCTTGGACACAAGGGGCCACCCAAGGTGGCGGCACAGCTGACCGTAAGTACCAAGTACCGGGAAGGGGCGGTGACAAACCTGGGCGGCTGAGTGCCCCTCTCTGTGGAGATCCTCTGGTGGGCTGGACTGGAGCCTGCCCACGCGGCCAGGCTGGGGGTGGAGTGCTGCAGAAGGGTGGTGGAGAGGCACCTTAACCCAATTCTGCCTGCTCAACACACACACACACACTAGCATTCTGGACCCGGTGCTGGTTCTGACCACTGGAAGGCTCCCAGAAGAACGCCCCTGTCCCAGTTCTGCAAGTTTCCCAAGCTGCCTGGAATGGAAGGAAACTAGGGGCCCGGGACTCAAGGGGGAGTTCTGCCTTTGTGACCAGATACAGTGAGGGGAGAGGCTAGGTCCTGCACCTAGATTGTTCTGGCAGCTGGAGTTGGGGGGCAATGGTGGGTCCAGAACCTCATCCACCAGTCCCCAGCACGAGCTAGGCGGCTAGGCGGGAAATTCTTTGCAAATGAGTCTGTCTCAGGGTGTGTCTTAGGAGGGACTAGGCAGCCTGCACCAAGAATGAGGAGCCCTAGAAGGGGCTGCTGCAACCTTGGAGGGTACCAGTACTAGGAACCCCTCTCCTCCCGCTCACTCTCCCTGAGCACTCCCAGGAAGAGCAGGCTGGGGAGGGAACTCTCAAGGTCTCTTGCAACCCAAGATAGGAGATAAGGAACAGGGTTAGCAACTTTACAGAATTCTCAGATGTCCCCCAGCTAGTTAAGTGGCAGTGCCAAGATCCGGGTGCTAATTCATGACCCCCCATAGAGGCTAGGGCTTAGAAAGTTCTGGGAGCAAACCTGTGAGGGTCTTCATGGACTAGGGCTTCCCAGTCACCCCATCTTGTCCAGAGCTAAGATTCTCAAAAGACAGGCCCTGTGGAAGGCAGCAATGCTGAGGAAACCAGCTCCTCAGCAGTCCTGGCCAGCCCTCCCTCGCCTCACACATTCAGCATGAATTGAGTGCCTTCTGTATGCTGAGCAATACCAAGCTTGAAGCAGCCAGCGAGTCAAGTAGGCATGCTAATTGGACAGATGATAAATGAGAACAAAAACAAACAAACAAAAAATGATCAAGACTTAAATTTCAAATCGGGGCTGAGTCAACAGGACAGTGGCAAAGCAGAGGCAGCGGGAGTGGACTGACGGGCAGGTTCAGACCTGAAGTAATTTGAAAGGAGACCTAAGGGGATATTGTCGGAGCAGGGATGCCTCAGTAATGAGTAGGGTCCACTTATGGCTCTAGAGGAAGAGCGTTCCAGGCAGGAGGAACCAAGGCAAGGTCGGAGCAGAGAGCGGCAAGGTGTGTGTGTGTGTGTGTGTGTGTGTGTGTGTGTGTGTGTGTGTGTGTGTGTGTGTGTATGTGTGTGTTGGTGTGACAGGGCTGTAGGGAACTAGTGAAGAGTTTTAAGAAGGAGGGAATGTAATCAATTGTGATTCAATGGGCTGCAGTGTGCAAAGAGTAGCTCAAAGGCAAGGGTATGGGCAATGATTGCTTGGGCCAAGGCGGTGGTCCTGCAGTCGTCCCAGCCTCGAAAGCACTCTCGTGTGCACCAGGTCCACGTGGGCTTAGGGAGAGGCGGATAACACTCACACCCCTATCAGCATGCCAATCCCAGGCACACTCAGCAAATCCACCTGTCTACACCCTCTGAGTCACCCAGAACTGGGAGGAAGATGAGCTGGCCTGGCCCTTCAGCCCTATGAGGCCATGGCCAACAGCAAACCTAGGGGTGGCTAGAACCCCCAGGTCCTGCTGTCTCTACATATCATCTGAAATGAGTGCTATCCCAGGAAGCAGATCCAAACCCCTATGCATCTCCCACCTGATGCAAACCTTCCTGCCCTCACTACCACTGGCTGTGGAACAGTAACAGGTGTTGGAAATGGGAAGATGGCTGAACATTTAAGAGCACTGGCTGTTCTTCCAAAACACCTGGGTTTGATCCTGGCACCCATGTGGCAGCTCACAACTGTCTATAACTACAGTTCCAGGGGATCTGATGCCCTATTCCTGCCTCTATCAGCACCAGGCACCCATATGGTGCATAGGTATACATGCTGGCAAGGCTCAGACATCTGAAATAAAATTTAAAGAAAAAGAAAAACGTTACCAGGTCTTTTTCTCCTCCTCTTCCAGCTTCAGTCTCCTCTTTGTAGAATAGGTTCGCAATGCCAAGTTCACAGGATGCTGTTGAGACATCAATAGGAGAACAGTTTTCAAAATTGTGGCTTGGAGCTCAGGATGTAGCTCAGTACTTGCCTAGCATGCCCAAGACCCAGGGTTCGATCCTCAGTACCACATAAAACTGGACATGGTGTTACACTCCTGCAAAACCAGCACTCGGGAAGCATTGGATGGAGGTTTAGAATTTCAAAGTTATCCTTGGCTACACAGAGGGTTCAAAGCCAACCTGAAATGCTGTCTAAAAAGTGAAAGGGGAAAAAAACGGACTGAGGTGGACATCCAGAAAGCCATGGAAGGGCATGGGCCTAAGTCTAATCCCCCTCATGCAAAGTCATGGCCTACCTGTACCCTGCTGTAAAGAGTCACCAGCATTTAACAAAGCACGTAGTCTGCACCCTATGGACTTTGTAGTCACTGTCATTTGATTATCAGCTTCTCTATCCCTAAGTTGGGAGCAGAGCAGGAGCCAAACCAGGGTACCCTTACAAAGGGTGAAATGAGATCCTGAATGTTCAGTAATTGGCTTGTGTGTGTGTGTGTGTGTGAGTGTGTGTGTGTGTTGTGTGTGAGTGTGTGTGTGTGTTTCACAGTAAAGAGTCACTGTCTGCAATGCACTATAGTTTGACTTTGGGTGGGTTGCATATTCCAGATGAGCCTCAGTGTCTTATCTACAGCTTGGGAAGAGTCCTCACCTCTTAGGATCCTTGTGATGACTAACCCAGTCCACCCAAACACACAGCTCAGTAAGTGGGGGCATGGAGGTGTACACCTTTAACCCCAGCACTCAGGAGGCAGAGTCACTAGCTCCAGGCCCCAGCCTAGGCTACATTGTGAAACTTGTTTTGCATTAAAAAAAAAAAAGAAGAGGAGGTGGGGAGATGGTTGAGCCTGAGCTGCATAATAAAATTTCTTTTTAAGACAAGGTCTCATGATATAGCTCTGGTTGTCTTGGAACTCACTATGTAGACCAGGCTAGCTTCCAATTCACAGAAATCCACCTGCCTCTTCCTCCTGAGTGCTGAGGTTAAAGGCATGCACCACTGTACCTGGCTTGGTTTGTTTTTTTCTTTATAAAAAGAAAAGAAAAGGCAGGGCTGGATTGATGACTGAGCAGTTTAAAGATCTATTAAAGGACCAAAGTTCATTCCCGGCACCCACATAGTCTGGTGGCTTACAAGGTCCTATTAAGCCAGCTGCGGAGGGTCCCTCACCCTCTTCAGGACTCTGCGCCGCGTACACATACATGAACAATGACGCATATATCCATAAACCAAAAAAAAAACCCTTTTTAATTCTATAAATAGCCATCGGATGAATCATTAGCATAACGGTTTTCTCCATGTTTCCTCAGGTGGGCACAGTCCCCCAAGCCACAAGCAGGCACCATGGACTGGAAGAAGCTCCAGGACCTATTGAGCGGCGTGAACCAGTACTCCACAGCATTCGGGCGCATCTGGCTGTCCGTAGTGTTCGTCTTCCGGGTGCTGGTGTATGTGGTGGCGGCCGAGCGTGTGTGGGGTGATGAGCAGAAAGATTTTGACTGTAACACCAGGCAGCCCGGCTGTACCAACGTGTGCTATGACCACTTCTTCCCTATCTCCAACATCCGCCTCTGGGCCCTGCAGCTCATCTTCGTCACGTGTCCCTCTATGTTGGTCATCCTACACGTAGCCTACCGAGAGGAGCGGGAACGGAAGCATCGCCTGAAGCACGGGGACCAGTGTGCTAAGCTATACAGCCATCCTGGCAAGAAGCACGGTGGCCTGTGGTGGACTTACCTGCTCAGCCTTATCTTCAAGCTCATCATTGAATTGGTCTTCCTGTATGCCCTGCACAGGCTCTGGCATGGCTTCACCATGCCGCGTCTGGTACAGTGTGCCAGTGTGGTGCCCTGCCCCAACACCGTGGATTGCTACATCGCTCGACCCACCGAGAAGAAAGTCTTTACCTACTTCATGGTAGGTGCCTCCGCTGTCTGCATTATTCTCACCATCTGTGAGATCTGCTACCTCATCTTCCACAGGATTATGCGAGGCCTGAGCAGGGTCAAGTCTACAAAGAGCAGCAGCTCCCCGAAGTCCTCCAGCCGAGCCTCCACCTGCCGCTGTCACCACAAGCTTCTGGAGAGTGGGGACCTGGAACCAGACCCAGTTGATGCCAAGCCGCAGGCCTCAGCACCCAACCTGACCCCCATTTGAACAGGAGGAGGAGTGAGGCAGGGAGGTGCTGCAGGTGGAGGGGTGCTGGGACCCCCACTTTGAATTCACTAAGCTAGCCAATTATGTTTAAAGCAGATATTTGTGGGTGCTGGGCTCTGTGCTGGCTACCTGGTATATAGGTAACATGGCAAACCCAGCTTCAGAAAGGTATTTAGATTAGCAAATTAAGTGCATGCATGCAAGGGTCTGCTTAGCTAAGCTGGTAAACAGGGCTTCTACCTACCCCAGAGGACTGTCATGCCGGGCACCCTCTCAGAAATGCACAGTAGGAGAGAGAAACGGGGGTCTCCAGAAGAGATAGCAACAACAACAAACTGTAGAGGTGCTGGCCTTGGACTGGGGACAGCCAGCCAGAGGGAGCTTTTACTCCCCCATGAGGAGCTGCTCCGGTTCCTAAGTGGAATGTTCTGGAGGACAAAGAACAAATGTGTGTAGCAGGCCTTGTCATGTCAGCTGCTGTTTGGGACACCTGGGGGTTCTCTGGATGCCCTTCCCCAACCTCCACCTTCAGGCAGCAATACTCTTCTTCCTCTCCCCCCCCCAGGGTGCTCAGCCCGCTGCACCCTGTAGCCAGGACCTTGGGGGCATGCATGGAATGGGAATACATCCAAGTCAGTTTCCTTTAAAGCAATAAAGCTGTGTTTTTATACAATTTGGTTCTTTGCTCCATTCTCCCCAGCTTCCACCCACAGCTCCCTGAAATCAGAGGACGCCCCTGGGAAAGAAAAGAGCCCTAGAACTTGAGGACGAAGCCAGGTTTGGGAGTGTGGCCTAGGCTGAAGCCTGGAATAGCTGTTGGCAGCTTTTGCCAGGGATCCTGAGGAGGACCCGAGAATGCACACATTGGGATTCAAGGTGTGGCCACCAGAGGGCGCCTCCAGCCTTCCTAAGTTAGACTGATCTGAGCACACACAACAGCAGTCACTCTCATTACAGACAAATCACATTCCCTTCTCTATCACTCAGCCCACATCCCCACCCTGTGTTCACACGATGCCTGCTACTCATACTCTCGCTCATGTACACTCATAGTAGAGTAAGCACATAACCACACTAGAGACTGCTCACATCCCAGCCTCACCCCGCAACTCATTCAGCTCTGTTCATTGTCCCCCAAACTTCTCCACACTGCCCTAAGAAAGATGATGGAACAACCTAAGTGGACCTAAGCCCAAGGTGCCCGTCCTGCAGACTCTGCATCACAGCCCCGCTCCAAATGCAATCGTGGCCTGCAGTTGAAGGGAACCAACGTCCCAAACCAGGCCAGAACATGAAGGAGAGCCTTGTGCAAGCATAGACTAACGTTCAGGAACAAATAGTGACCATAAAAACCAAAGCCAAGAGCCAGAAACTCAAGAGCCGGTGGGCTGACAGCCAGCAAGGGCAAAGAGAGGTCAGGGAACCTCGCAAACACACAGCAGGCTGTGGCTCACCTTTGCTCTCTGGCTGGTAAGGGGTGGGTGAGTCAGCCCGGTTTAACGGGCTCTGGGCTAGGCTGGTCATTCCCTGAACTCCCCCCTCCCCCGCAAATTAAATCACTGCCTCATCATTTTACAATACACTTTCACCACACTGCACTTCGATTAAACTTTAAGAACCTCTGCCTTATCGTCAACACAATAGAGCCTGTGTCAGCCAAGGTCCCAAGGGAAAAAGCATAAACAAAGTGAAGGATGATGGTAGTTCTATGGTAGTACATGCCTGTGATCGCAGCACTTGGAGGGAGAAGACTGAAGGACATGGGTTCAAAGCCAACCTTGGCCTCACAGTGAGGTGGTGCTGAGGGGTGGAGGGGTGGGGGCCGGGAGAGGTTCCTATTGTTTTCACGATTGTATGGCTGAGGCAAAGCAAGGGATACTGTGGTGACCGTGATGGCTCACATTGATGGTAGACTAGGCGGGGCATAGAACCACCCAGGAGATAGGAGGCCAGCCTCTGGCTGTGACTGTGAGGGGCTGTCTGGGTTGGGCTAATAGTGTGCAGCACCTCAGAGACCGAGGTCCCAGGCTGAATAAAAAGCACAAAGTAAGCTGCGCTTCCTGGCTGTAGTGGCCAAGAGTCCTCACGGTCCTGCTGCCATATCTTCTCTGCCTTAACAGATTGCACCCTCCAACTGAGACAATGTGAACCTTTTCCTCCTCAGGCTGCTTTGTGGCGGTTTGGAAAGTCGCATGAAAAAATAACTACTGCGTACCTATGGACTGGGGTGGGGGTGGGGTTAGTACCAATGTGCTAACAGGAACTAGAAGATGCATTTCACCACCAGAGTAGAGCCAATAATCCCCACCCCCACAACTACTCTTTCCTGCCTCCTGTCCACCTGCCAGTGGCTCACTGAACAGACCAGAAGGCGGAGCACGAGGGGGCCTGCTGAAGTCTGTGGCTGCAGGTGAGTCTCCCAGTGCAGGGTGGGGTGGAGAGCAGCTCTGGGGGACAAAAGGGCTCAGCTCAGCACTTGGAACAGTTCACTCTGGGATGACTGCTCCAGAGATCAAAGGGGACATTAGTGCTGCTGGGGCCAGGAAATGCCTAGGTGTGACTGTGCCTGGGAGGGTCCCTGGTGACTGGGCTCTATCCAGGTAGGACTCAGCTGGGACTGGGCAGTTACAAAGTTCTCTAGCTGTTAGCTACTACAGATTTTAGGATTGCCCTTTTTTCTTTAATTTTTAAAAAAATTTTGATCAACTGTATATATGTCTGTGTGGGGTATGTTTGTTCATATGAGCGCAGGTGCCCATGGAGTCCAGAAAAAGGGATCAGATTCCCTGGAGCTGGAGTTACGGATGCATGGCTGTGAGCCTCCTGACGTGGGTGCTGGGAACCAAACCCAGGTCTTCTGCAAGAGCAGCAAGTACTCTTAACCACTGAGTCACCTCTCTCCAGCCATGCCCCACTACCTTAACACATACACACACACACACACACACACACACACACACACACACACACACACACACACGGGGGGGAGAAAGAGAGAGAGAGGAGACTTGGCTAGGAATGGCCACTCCCCCTTCCGAGCGCTGGGATTTTGGCCCTGTGAAAGCCTTGGGCATACTGTCAGGATCTCTGTGAGTTCTTGTGTGTGTCACCCCTGCTGTGTCTGGATGACACCGTTTCCTTGGGAGTCATCCAGCACTTCCTCTCCATTTCTGCATGGGTCCCTAAGCCTTGAGGGGAGGGTTTTATAAAGACATACCTTCTGCGTATATGTGAAAAAAAATGACACCTCCCTAAGCTGTACTGTCTAAATTGATAATAATGATAGCCTATACACAATTTTGATGAATGAAGATAAATACAAGGATATGTTTCACATTCAGGGTCTGTGAATTTCACCTAAGGAGCTTCATGGATTGTAGCTCAAGTTAAGGATTAACAAATGAGTCCCAGTAGCTCAGCTAGTTTACATTCTTTTAACCATAATGTCAGGAGATATATTCACAGGTCTCAGAATGCATCACAGCTGAAACAAAGCTTTGAAAACAACAAAGTTAGACTAAGATGTTTTTGTTAAATAACTTTGAGGTGAAAAGCCCAAGAAAACAATCTAAAGTTTTAGAAGGGCACATAGTTGAATGCAGAACTCTTTAAGGTCAGGAACAAGAACAAAGCAGCCCAATTATTACTGACTGACATACTCTCCTTGCTAGGTTTGCTTGACAACCAAAGGTGATGATTAATTCCTTATGCCCATTTCTGCCCTTAATCTCCTGATATAAAAAAAAACTACTAATAAATGGATATGTACCCTAAAGATTTAAAGTACAGCTGACTGATCCTTTTTCACATATACAAGTTTAGGTTTATGATTCCTTTAAGATTCCTTATAAGATTACCTTTCAAGATAAGTAATAAAGTAATTGGCCCTTTCTTGGTAACTACAAAATGCAGCCTGCCAGTAAAAGACCTGACAAGAACACCTTGCTTGCCCACATGGTTAATCTATAACAAGTTGCTTAGGTATGAATGTATGTGGGTTCTTGGGATAATTTGTTTTTCACCTGTAATACATGAAATGTTTAATCATGTGAGGAAGATTAAAAAAATGTTTTTGTCTATACTCGTTTACTTGAAAAATGAAATGCAACCGTTTTGACCTTTGTCCTGCCTGGAAGATTCCATTGGAGTATAAAAGCTGTGAAAAAACATGAGAAGAGAGGGAGGGAGGGAGGGAGGGATGAGGGAGGGAGGGATGAGAGAGAGAGAGAGAGAGAGAGAGAGAGAGAGAGAGAGAGAGAGATAATAAAGAAAGAAATCATCAAGAGAGTTTGCAAGTGCCTTTTCCCCTAGTCCCCTCAGATAGAAAAGTCTGGCCTCACCAACTCCATGGATTTCTACAAAGTCCTGTGCTGCTGGAGGCTGGGTCCCCAGATAGTGGTAGCTTCATGTCACCCAGGGTAGTCTTGAATTTGCCATGTTGCTGAGAATGACTTTGAACTCCTGATCCTCCTGCCTCCATTCCCTGAGGGCATCAATCATCACACCTGTTTTTATGAAATGCTGAGGATCAAACCGAGATCTTTGTGCGTGTTGGGTGTGGTGGTTTGAATGAGAATGGCCCTCACAGGCTCATATATGTGATTATTTGGTTCCCAGTCAGTGGACTGTTTGGGAAGGATTCGGAGGTGTGGCCTGTTGGGGGAGGTGTGCTTTGAGGTTTCAAAAGCCAGGTCCAGTCTCTCTCTCTTTCTCCATCTGCAACTTTGGGATCAGATGTGAGTTCCAGCTCATGCCATGCCTCTCTGCCTGCCACCATGACGGTCATGGACTAACCCACTAAAACTGTAAGCAAGCCCCCAATCAGATGCTTTCTTTTATAAACTGCCTTGGTCATGGTGTTTTGTCACAGCAATGGTACAGTGACTAAGGCCCTAGGCAGGCGCTCTACCAACTGAGCTTCCTTTCTAACCCTCCAGCATTTTCCTAGGTGGTGCCAGATTCTGGCAAAGGGTGGCACAGAAGTCACAGCAACCAGAAAACATCAACTCTTCCAGGAGGGGGCCAAGGGAGGGCTCAGTATGGGCTGAGTTTTTTGGCCCTGGTCACATTTCTCCAGGATGCAAGCCAAGTCCACAGCAGAAGGGACATCCTTTGCCTGCTTCCCTGGCTCTTGCTGGCAACTTCTTCAGAATTTGGATGTGCACCAGAGACCCACTGAGATACCCAACCTTGTGGACTGAATCGTTAGACCTTCTGTTGAAGGACAGCCATTGTTGGGTTAGCAGGACCACAGCCAGTAAGCCATTCTAATGAATCCCCTTTCTATGTATAGATAGATTCATTCTATAATTTCTGTTCCTCTAGAGAACCCTGACTAATCCAGACTTTGGTACCAAAGTAGTTCTATAGCAACAGATAATAAGGATGATTTTTTAAAGTATCTGGAATAACTTTCCAATTTGCCAACACCTACAGTTAATAGTTACTGAAGCCTCTCCTGGAAGCTCAGAGAGTACTGGAAGCCCATAGCGTGAACTATTTTTACAAACTTAAAGATGCAAATGCATTTGATTATCCTGACTCACAAGTTGTGAGAAGCAAAGTATATAAAACTCTTGACAGTTTGTGGAAGGATAAGGAAAATGATGGAGCTGGTTGGTTACTCCTACCATCTCTGGAAAACTT